CTATGTGGCGCGCTTCCGAGCGAAGGATTCACGGGAAGCGTGTGTGTTGTGCAGGAAATGTTGAACGTGAATCCACTGCATTTTTTAAGAATACAATTACCGCATAAGGATTGACCTAAATCGAGGTTTAGAGCTGCGAGATGTACTGGGGTTCCTCTAGTGCGACACATAAACGCAAACGAGGACGAAGTCAGTGAAGGTGTTGAAAGTAAGTTTGACAAATAACGCCTACTGACTATTAGAAGATCGTTTAAAATTCATTCCTAAGGCGGGTGTCTTTTATTGGTCTCCTGATATGTCCGCAAATTTCTACTAATTCTCCGGAAAAAATTCCAGCTAGAAAACGTTTTTCTTGAAAAGTACATTCTCAGTAAGAGATTCTAAATGGAAAGCTGGGCAGATTTCACGCATTCCATTCTTTCGAATACATGTCTTTTGCAAAATAAACACTTTTTTCTGGCTTTCGTTATTATTTCCGAGAACACAATGTAGTTGTTATCTTAAAGTTTCAGTACAAAGAAGCTGCTTACCACTGTTCGTCAGCAGTGTTCGATCGTAACTCGAGCCGATGCAGCCTGTATTCTACCACATTTGCGGTGGACTTCCTTGTCCCCGATAGCATGACTATTTATTACGAAAAAAACTGCTTTCCAGGTCAGTATTTTTCTTTTCCAATGCCATTGCCTTTTCTTTACACCCTAGCTGCAACCATTCAACCATTAGGGCAGGAAGGAAAAGTCTGGAAAGAGGGATGGTTGGAATCCGTATATGCTTATTTGTCACACTCTGTTCGATGACAGTACCATACTAAAAGCTTCGTACCGATGGACTGTGAAGTTTAAATTGGGTAGCCCCCTCGTTGCGACATATTTCACTGCCCTGTGGGTTATTGTTGAATACTGCAGTCACTGGATTTCCCTTTCCTCCCAAACTTCAAGAATTGAATCGTTTTAGCACAACTGGCTGAGCTGTGCGGCGAAGCACTGCTGGATCGGCAACCTCAGCGTGTACTACTCGGTCCTCATCATGCAATTTTGACGGCTGTTACGCCGACCGAATGTTTGTTGAGGTGTTTTTGGTCAGTGCTAGATGGCCGATCGTTCCAGTGTCGCTCACTAATGTACTTCTATGAGGTCTGCGCATCTTTTTCAACTTCTAAATTGGTCGCAGTGAAATAGTTTGCACGGAAGTTCATCAAGGGAGTACAGGAAAGTAAAATACGATGAGCGGGATATGCTGCTTAAAAGTGGGCCTAACTCGAACCAAGTGGGATACGCAGCAAGAGAAACGATCACTTGCACGCTGCATACACTGCTTGAGTAACTGAACACAAAATATTTTTTTGCCTTTATTTTTATTTCTCTCTTTATTATTATAATTTTTGTTATCATTATTTTGTTACTGTTATTATTGCTATTATAACTGTTATTACTATTACTACTGTTATTATTATTATTGTTATTGTTGTTGTTTTTGTTACTATTATTATTATTATTATTATTATTATTATTATTGTTATTATTATTATTATTATTATTATTATTATTATTATTATTATCTCGAGTTTCATGTGTCCCGTTTATTATTAATAATAAATTGAGCGCAGGAAATCCAAGATAGACTGATATGATCACTTAACGTACTTGTGGATCCAGTGGTGTCGGAATTTCAAAGCAGCAGTTTGAGCGATCTTTAAACTTTTGTTATTGATCCGGTATTGTTGCCGAACTTGTATTTGTACTTAGCCATACCCATGTCGTATGAAGGCTAATATCTATATCTGAACCTTCTCCTCATCTCGAAACTATAATAATTGGCCAACGCACGGGCTGCCCGTGCGATGATGCGTTTTTATGCGTGTTTTGCAGCTATGCAGTGCAGAAAACGCATGTTGA